GTGGTGAAATGGAGAACTTTTGCTCTTATGGTAGGTCACTGAATGACTTAATTAAGTTTGAATGACCTAAGTCAGTAGATTTAAGGACACTCTAGAATAAACTTTTTTTTTTTGTCAAATCCCTTCGCCCTAGCCCACAATTCAGTAACATCACAAACAGGGTATCAAAAGAGATGTCTAGAAAGTAGTTTAAGTTAAACCTGGAGAAAGCTCAAAAATATTTTTTTCCCATAGGAAAATTCCCAAACGGAATAATAAAATTTACTTACATTTGTTGCTGTTAATTTGGCTTAAAATGCTTTCCTCAAAAAAAAAAAAAATTAATTTCAGTGATGCCTTGGTGATGTACTGAATTAAATGAGTAAACAATTTTGAATAAGAAATTTATCTATAATGAGTAATTCACTGACAAAACATTACCTAAAATTAAAAGCAAGATAAACCCTAATTAAATCAGAGTTCACAGGTAGCGTTGTTTACATTCAGTAGGATTCAATTTATATGTAAGTGGGTAATATTTAGATCATATGGAAAAGCCCTTGAAGTATACGGTCTCCCATTCATGTTATTATTATTGATGTAGACTGAAGTATAATAGGGTCATTTTTAAAAGATGAGATGAGAACAGTCACATATAAAAGAAATGTGGTCTATGGAGAATAGAAACATTCCTGGATTTTCATAAAACCTTCTCAGATCCTAGCTTTTCTTTCTTTAGGTCTCCTCTTTGCCTTATTTTAATTTACTACGTTAAGTAAAAGTGTAAATGAGAGGTGTGGGCTGATCAGTTTTTCAGCCTTAATAGTTTGCCTGAAATTATAAACATGGTAGGTTTATAAAGTCAGGAGCAGTATCATGTAGTGGTTATAATAGCGCGCTCTCTGGAGCCAGCTTGCCTGGGCTCAAACCACTGAATCTTCCACCTACAGACATGTAACCTTGGTAACCTTGGGCAAGTCACTATGTTCTCTGTCTCCACAAAGTCATTCTCAGTTGAGAACAACTGCTCAACAGTTCTTCCCAGTCTTCCTAAAATACAGCTCAGACTATATCACTCCCTGCGGAAAAATTCAATGGTTTCTCCTGTCGTGCTGATAAACGCCCTCACCCCTCTGGCTGGCCCTCACTATGTTTCCTAGTGCAGTCTTCGTTCTCTTACGTATGTGTGGCTGATCTACGACAAACTCTTCAGATTGGTGGGTGGGTGGCTAGATAGATAGATAGATAGATAGATAGACAGATGGCAGCCTGGCCTCATTTTATAAGTGAATAACAATTTCACTTTAGGAAACTTAACTCTTTCAACCCAGTGGGGCTAGTTATATTTTATTTGCGGCCACATGCAAATCCAAAGTTTATAGGGTTGGGCTTTTAAAAGTCACCATGTCCAACTCTTTTTAAATTAAATTTACTGGGGTGACATTGGTTAATAAGACCGTAGAAGTCTCCAGTGTACAGTTCTGTGATGTGTGATCTGTGTATTACACTGTGTGCCCAGCGCCCAAAGTCAGATCTTCTTTGATCACCATACACTTGACCCCCTTCACCTTCCACTACCCCTCATCCCCCTTCCCTCCGGTAGCCACCTTACTGTTGTCTGTGTCTGTGAGTTTTTGTTTGCTTTATGTTTTGTTCATTTGTTGCTTTCAGCTTTATAGCCCACATATGAGTGAAATCATACAGCTCTTAACATTTTCTGACTTATTTTGCTTGGCATGATATTCTCAAGATCCATCCATGTTGTTGCAAGTGGCAACAGTTCATCGTTACGCATGGCTGAGCAGTATTCCACTGCATACATGTACCGTATCTTTCTTATCCAATCATCAGTTGTCTCCATGACTTGTCCTCCGTGACTTTTGTTACTTATCAGTTTGGCCGTCGGGTTTCTAATTAATAACCCATTTTGGAACCCACAAGAGGGTGAAGATATACAGAAGAATAAAGAAGCATTAGTTCAGTTCTTAGGGGATCTCACACAGGGCCCGGCAGAAGTAACGCCTGCTTCAGTGTGGTTGGTAGGGTAATAACATGGGTGTAATAAGTTATAGTTTTAATTTGAAGATTTCACCCAAAATGTCATATGGTATGCTTGAGTGTGACATTGTTATGTTACTGCATTACATACTTAGGATTTTGTAATAAGAGATTTTGTAGTAAAAAAGGGACGTTATTTGTGCCAGGCCTGGTTTATTAACACCAAGGCCAACCTGGAGGTGAACTGTCTGCTACACATTAGACAATTCAACTTTATTTTTTATTAAATTTATTGGAGTGACACTAGTAAGATTATATAGGTCTCAAGTGTACATTTCTATGACACATAATCTGAATATTGCATTGTGTTTACCACCCAAAGTCATGTTCCATTTTTTAATCTAAAAATTTGATTTTGGAAAACCCCATTAAAATTTGAACACAGTATCCACATATACTTACCCTGTTTTTGACATAACTTTAAACGGCTCCGATCATGCCCGAGTCAATCTGACAAAGGTGGGAAGGGCTTCACGGGCGTGTGCGGTGGGACCTTGCACTTGCTGGAGGACCCTCTGTCAGAAGAACCTTGAGCTTGGCTGAATGCTCTGCTGCCGCTATCTTGAAATTTCAGGAGCGTTAGTTTTGCATGTGTGTTTTGTAAGTGACATCCTCTGGGACAGCGGGGCGCGGGCGCGGAAGAGTGGAGGCTGCAGGGGGCCGCTGAGCACACGCTGGGTCGGGCCGGCAGGCGCGCGCGCCTCAGCTGGCTGGGCGGTGGGTCCCCAGCGGGGCCCAGCCCACTCTCAGCAGGTTGGCGGCGGCCGCTGCAGCGGCGGCTGCCCCAGAGGCCGCCTGGCAGGGTACGCGTGGCTCCCCCAGGCGGCGGGGGTGGGGTCCCAGGAGCCCATCCCTGCAGTATCTACACAAACATTAAATCTTCTGCCCACGTTCCAAGGCGGTACCTGCGGAAGTCGAGCAGTAAATATTGTCAATAAATTGCTACAAAATCAGGGACTTATTAGAATTCTTCGTCGTTTGCAGTGCCCAGTTTTCAAAACGGCTCCAACATTGTGAAGCAAATACCCACCGGCCTAGAAATGCAGGTTACACTCAAAGATCAGCACATTTGATGGGACATAACTCCGGTTTCATGGGAAGCTATAGAGTTAATTATTAACGAGGAAGACAATTTAAAAAAAAATTAAATTGTAATTGAGAATAAAGGAATAGAAGATATAAACAGGGATTTTGGATTCTATACAAATCATGGAACTACTTTTGGTTTCCTGTATGGCCTCAGCAAGTTCCAGGAAATGTCCGAGGACATGTGAAAATGCCATCGCACACGATTAAGTTCAGGAGAAAGGCAGTAGCAGGGTCTTCGCTGTGATTCAGCTGTTCCGTATCCTGACTGTGCTGATAAATATACGAACCTACGCGGGCGCTAGAACTGCATGAAATCAAACACACACACAAGGGCGTGCGCGTGAAGCACTGAGGTATGAATGAGGCTGCCGGGCTGTGCCTGTCGCCTTCCCGACTGTGACATCCTGACACTGCCTTAGAGTTTTGCGAGCTATAGCCATTAGAAGCTCTATTAGGGTGAAGGATGCAGCTCTATTACTTTTTACAGTTTGCATTTTAATCTATAGTTACCCCCAAATAAAACATTTAATTTTAAAGATCACACTCACACATACCTGTAACTGATTTATATGGAGAGTTATATTTTTATAGACAATTGTTCTATGAGAAGAAACTCCAGGTATATTAATATTTATATATTAAAATAATTTATCAGAAATTTATCCCAGTATTGTCACCGGCTACAAAACATTCTTAATAGCTCCAGTAACAGTTGCATCAACAGAAAGATCTTTCTTGAAATTAAAAAGTATCAAGAAATATTTGTGACCTTGTTAGACAAAAGCAATTGATGTCACTTTTGACTCTATCATTAAAAATGAAATCACTAATTGTAGAAATTTGATGACCTAAGAAATTAATTTGCAGTAAATGAAGCCAGAAATAGTGTATGGTCAATCAAGATATCACAATAATACTGTATTATTTATTGTATTACATATAATTATACCAAAATAGTATTCTTGAAAAACATTTTTGTTATTACTCATCTGTCACTATTATCCCATTAAGTTTTATAAGTAATAACATATTTTTAAAGGAAAAATATTTATCTATTATTATCTTTAACAGTGTTTTTTGTTCTGAGTTATGAACAAAAAGGCCCAAACATTCCATTTGCAGTGAGCCTCGTAAGTTATGTGAGTCCTCGGCGGGGGAGTTTGATGATTATTTTTGTAAAATTGAGCTTGGAATGAAGTTTTGAAATGACATCAGAAACTGCATCTAATAGCTAATCTCAGAAGTCAGCGTTTTTCCCCCCAGAGGGTTTGCCAAGATATTATTTTACTTATTTTTATTTTTTAAAGTATTTTTTAAAAGCCAACAGGAATTCATTCCCCATCAACCTTGACGTTTGAATTTGAATGTACCTTACTCTGAGAGAGGGTATTAAGGAAGACTTTCCATTTATCAGTATATCAGAACGTTTACTTTTCCATTTAAGAAATACAATATTAAGGACCATTCCACAAACATGTCAATTTAGATTTAAAAAATCTAAACCTCAAAGTTTTCCTCAGAATTCCTATACTTAGCCTTTTCGGGTTCACAGCCATCTCAGCTTACAAATACTTTTCTGAGGAATGACCACATTTCCCGGAAACTTTGTGCCTCGTCGCATTCATCCTGGGCATTTTTATGTGACACTCACACCATTGTCCCAAAAGCAACTGTAGTTTTAAAAACAGCAAACCTGAAAGGGAGCAGGAAGGCGCATCTCAGCCGCGGACTGTTCGGACGCCAGCGAAGCGCCGCGCAGGCTTTGCAGGGCAGCAAGGCCGGAGAGGGCAGCCCACTGCGGGCGGGGGCGGGGTGCCGGCCTACCCGCTGCTGTCCCCTGGCTCAGGCTGCCTTCTTCTTCTCTTCCGCTCCAGAACGACTCTTGGGGAAAGCAGTACTCGTATGCGCTCTTCAAGGCCATGAGTCACATGCTGTGCATCGGGTACGGAGCCCAGGCCCCGGTGAGCATGTCCGACCTCTGGATCACCATGCTGAGCATGATCGTCGGGGCCACCTGCTACGCCATGTTCGTGGGCCACGCCACGGCTCTGATCCAGTCCCTGGATTCCTCCCGGCGGCAGTATCAAGAGAAGGTAATCGCTTTTGTCTGTGATATCCTCAACCAGCTAGTTTGTAGCTTGAACTACTAGGGTTCAATCTAACTAAACGATCTCCTCTTATCAAAAACATAATGAGAGCAAACGTTTAAAAGCAGGAAAACACAATCTGTTTGGATATTTTGAGGTTTCTTCCAGATGGTCCTTGTAGCTTTTATCTACTTCCCATTTCTCTCGTGAGCAATAATTGTTTTAAAAACTCTGAATTTGCATTCACAAATTCGAAAAAGTTAGTTACACGTTTCGAAATGCATGAAGCTGATGTATCGCGGTTCATATCAAGCCTTCTGTGATACGTGTTAAAGATGTTGGCTGATTAAACGTGGACGGCCATCCATTGCTTGTGCCTCTGCCTGTTGTCATCATAATTTATATTATAATCTCTACGCCTCGCTGAACATATGTTGCCCTTGTGTCTAGATATGTCATGACACCCTCCGGTCTTAAAATTGCATATTAACAGCTGCTATCGTGCATCCTTATACACCATCTGTTAATTAAAATGATTGCTGCTTGAAACTTCTCAAAAGAGAGAGTAAAAGGAGGGAGGTGTACACAGTGATTTATCTTGCATTTTTTTCATATGCTGAATGGCTTTGGCTGAGGCTAGACCGTGGACCGTCAGGCAGTACTTACACTCCTGACCAAACGTCAGTAACTTTCTGACTGATAAGTAAGGATGTTTTACAAATGAAGAAATCATTTACTGTATGGGGCTCTGATGAACCTAACAGAGTGTGTAGTAAACACCTTGCCAAAGAACATTTTCCAAGTAAGGACTCAAGTAGGTCCAGAACACTTCCGGTGAGTGATCACAGCTTAGACTTAACATTACAAAACAGCTGAGGATCGTTTCAATTTCATTTACAAAGGTTTTCAACACTATAATCACGCGATAGGAGAAGGGGAACCTAGATACTTTATTTCCCTTGAAGGTAATTACGCATCCACCACAATTACAGGAGCAAGTGGATATTTTATTACTAAAGTAATGAAAAGATGAACCATCAGAATTGCTTTGAGGTTCGTTTTAAAATAAAGCCTCCAATTCAACTGTAAAGAACAAAACCCATAATGAGGGAGAAGAGAATTAATACAATGGTGACTGAAAATTGTAACTCAAAGGATTTGGGCTAAATTTATGGGGATTTAAGATAAGACCACAATATAGTGTATGTTTTTATTAAATTGTTTCTTTTTCCCTTTTCATTGATATTTCTTTTCATAAAAATGCTCTTCAATGACCTAATTTTTGTCCACACCATTGCTACTACACATTTTCTTATAATCCAACTAGTCTCTCATTTCCAAAGTTGTATTTATTAATATTGTATTGTTTATTAGGTGAACTCACCATTTCTGTGTTTTAGATCTACTATATAAACCTAGCTTATCTTGGAAACCCAATTTATTCAATGATGTAATCATGGATATTTATAAAGAAAGCTGTTACAACATTTGTCATAATTTAAGTCATCAAGTTTTGTTTTTTAATTAAGTTTATTGTGGTGACATTGGTTAATAAGATTATACAGGTTTCAAGTGTATACTTTTATGATACATCAGCTGTATGTTGCATTCTGTGCCCACCACCCAAAGTCAAATATTCTTCTATCACCATATATTTGACCCCTTTTACCCATTAACTTATTGATCTTAGGAGTGTTTAATAGAAGGCAAACATACTGGGAGTAGGATTTCTGGGTCATATCATAATTCTAAGTTTAACTTCTTGAGGAACCTCTTATGTAGTTTATATTTGTCTTGAGGGGTATTGGATCCATCTGCCATGGAAGCCTGAGAAATTAATATCGACGTTATTTTCACTGTCATATACCTATTGGTAACATAGTTGTGATGTGAAAGAAGCCAGCTCTAACTAATACCTCTCTAGCAGCCATTTATAGGGCACTGGGTATTCAGCCGCCCTGCTGATGAATCCTGGCTCTGGAATTCACTTCTCGGGGTAGGCCGTGCTCTTTCCCCAGCGCTCATCACACCGTTTGGCTCATGCCAGGCCCTCGTCTGGCTCGGCCCCAGTCTGCAAAGCCTTCCGCCTCCCTCCCCCACCCCCACCTCTCGGCCGCGGCTTCCTCCCCCACCAACGCACCGAGGGCCGACGTGTGCCCTTCTCCGGTTCTTGGCAGGAGTCAGATGGCAGCGTCCACCGCCCATTTGTGTGGTCTCACATGGCATTCAGACCCCAGAACCATATGTCCCAATCATATTAAAGTGTTTCAAAGACCCCCAAGTGGTCTTCTTGAGGCGCTCTCCACAGGTCAAGTGATCGAAGGTAACCCTCCCATACCCCTACCCCACGTGACTTGGGCAGGGGACTCACAGCAAGAGCACTCGCTTTCTGCTAAGAAGTCTGCTCACGGGCCCTGTCACAGAAATTCTCACTCTGCCCTCTGACCTCTGCGGAGCTTTGGTGAGACTGAAACTTCCCAGAGCCTTGATTCTTGGGTCACCATTTACAGTTGTGAACCCGCAGATGAGCAACCCCCTTATACAGATTCTCAGGTCAGCACCTCCGTGAACATGAGAAAGAAAATGTTCTAACCTTGCAGCCTTTAAAGCCTTTCTTTATCTTAACTTTGTGCAGATAATGCCAACAAGTCAGATATATACATATACATGTCTATGTGACTTACTGTGTGTGCATCTATACATATGTGTGTGTGTGTGTGTGTGTGTGTGTGTAAAATTGTTTTTTGGCCTAATAAGTTTGGTAAATTGATTGAAACAATATCGTGGGTTTTTTGTTGTGGTTTTATTTTTTTGGCCTGAGTGTGTATGCCCCAAACCTGGAACATATTGCCTTTGTGCTCCTTGTCAGACTCCCATGTATTTTAAGTGATTAATGTGCACTTTGGGAAATCCCCCGTTAGAAGAAGTCCCCACAGTCACCATTTCTTTGTTTTATGTTTTTGAGGTGAGCTCAGGCAGTCACCCTCTTCAGGAAATGAAACCCCCTTGGCCAGCTCATGTCTTCACACTGCCGCGTCGGAGCGATCTCACTTCTTACACCGTAGGCCTCTGGGAAGCCCTCTAGTGTTTCTAGACCTGTCATTCTCCTTTCTGTCAAATAATTACAGAAATAGCAGCTTCCAGGTGTGTAATTTTCCCTCTGTAAAAAGAAAGGATTTTAACACAAGATACTAAGAATTTAGACTAAGAGATTTTCAACCCACCTTGGTAGACTTGAGGTACATGGAAGAGTTTTAATGTAAACTTTGAATATAACCAAAGAATCACTCTGATTAGATGAAATACCTGTATACTCTGAACAGCTTCTTGTATCCAGGAAGCCGAGTGTGTACCTCCAAGGCAGGTGCAGGAACCTTTTCTTTAAAAGCCTGTGCTTTCTACAGGGAAGAACACAAGAAGGCAGCCAGTGCCACCCTGGGCTTCGACTGTTGATTATGTTATATAAAATTCTTAAAATCAGTCTCAGTTTAACAATGATAAATGTTAAAGTGCTAAGTTTACCCCAAAGGACAAAATGATAAAATTTTGTCCATCTCTGTAAAAGTTTATATGATACGTATTAAAGGTGTTTTGGAATGAGAAGATAACATTTAATGGGAGTAGTCTCCCCACTATACAAGAGAGTTATATGCAATCTTCTATGAAACCATATTGAATTATGTGATTTTATGTAATCATACCAAAAATGTAATATCCTAAATCTAGTCAGTTCAGGCAGATGTTTTCTCCTGGTTTAAATGAATAATCCATAGACCCTTATCCTTTCCTTGTAACTGAATGACTATATCAGGACTATTACATACATTTCTTACTCCAGAAAAATTGTTTTTTCTTTTGAATCAGTCTCATCTTCTAAATTTGACGAAGCTAATGCTCTAACCAGAGACAAACGCCTGGCACCAAGCCCTGCTCCCCTTTTCAATCCACTCAAATCCCATTTGCAATAAAGCGCATTTCAGGCCATTGAAAATAAAGTGACTGTGCTTCATATACGTGTTTTCCTGGTAATGCGCCCTTCAAGAAGAACCTGGGTGGAGGAGGAGGAGCGTCAGGTTGACGCTGAAGGTCTCTCATTTTTAGTCAGACGATTATTGCTCTCTCAACGCATCAGATGCTCTGACCCTCCACACCCTTCCTCCTGCTCCCTTACTTACTTTTACTCCCTTCACTCTTTCAGAGGTTCTGTCACTGGACTAAAGGGGTCCGTTCGCCTGAACGCTTCGAGGCCCAGTTAAGACACCAACAGGAATTTGCAGCAAAAAAGTAAGGGTTTATTAGTTGAGGAAGTGGCCGACCCCCCGCCGAGACAGAGGCGAGCTCAGGCTGAAGACCTGGCTCCCGGATGGCTCCCAGGGGAGGAGCGATATGGGGAAATCATCAGTCATGGTGACTAAGGGAGTCAGGGTCGCGGTCAGGGTTGTGGTCCCTCCGGATGGGCCGGTGCTGGGGGCGGGGTCGCTGACCATGGCGTCTGGGCCTGCCGTTGGCCATGGCCTTGCTTCTTCTGGTTTCCCTGCTTTTCTGGGCCTGGAGCTGAAACACAATGGAGGCCTGGATGTCACCTCTAGTTTGACCGAAACTCTGTCTCTGCGGTCAGCAGACCTGAGGCTTTGTTCCTAAGATAATTGGATGCCAACCAGAACCTCATTGTCCTGAGGGCTTCATGACGAAGGGGCTGGATGTGCAAGGTAGAGGGAGGCAGGTGAGTCAGGGTGCTATAAGAGGCCAGTTTGACTGCAAAGGACAGAAAGGAGAAAAGGTCATAATGAAGACATGAATTTTCTGTGTGGTTACAGTTTTGCCCTTGTCTTTGGAAGGCTGTGATATCTTCCCTGGTCATTCCAGCCTGTAGTAATCCATTTATTATGTCTACTCTGTCCGTCCAAGGGCAGCAAGCCCCGTAATGGGGAGATCTGTATCTACGCTGACGTGCATTTCAGCCCCCTGCAGAATGACCTCAGTGCTGTGGTGCTGAGGATGCAACA